GCGACGGGGATGATAGAGTTGGTGCTGGTCGAATACGTCGGCGGCGTTTGGCATCAGGGGTGGGATCACCGATCATGGTGATAATGGTGGTGGTGCTGTTGTTGGTGTTGGTGGTGGGCTGCCACCCAAACGAGCCACGTTGTAGGTGCGCTGAACCAACAGGGGGCCATATCGGATTATGGCAGGCGTTATGGGATTTGCATCTCATAACAAATGCCAACATTTTGGGTGCCGGCAGGCGTCGCGCACACTGAGCTCTCTACCGCTCCCCACCCTCATCGTTGTTGTTGGTCAAAAACCTGGTCATTGGCTGTGTAGACCAGAGGGTGTGGGGTGGAGCGCCAAGGTGCGGGCTCGACAGTGCCATCCACCTGTTCCCACCCCCGCCTCCGGTCTTCTCGACTCTGTCTTTACACCGGGTCCAGGTGAGGGGGGAGGAGGGAGTGTGGTAGATGTTGCGCAAGTCTGCTATCACTCTAAACTAATTCACGCACAAATCACGTCCCTACTCTTCCCTTGCTGTGGAGCGCACAGTAGACATAGTCAGCAGCGACGGTCGAACTGTCGCTGGTGGTGGTGGTGGTAGTTGCCGTCAAGTGCACCCTGGGATTTGGTGCAGAGTCGAAGATGTGGGCTATTATGGAGAAAACAGGTGGAGTCGTCGGTTTGTTTTTGCGTTGAGGTCGGAGACGTCCGATCCGGCCGATCCGCGCGCGAAATGTTCGTTTGCGGAGTGGACACGTTGGAGGGCTTGAGTACCCGCGCTGTTGGTCAGAGCCGCTTAAGACTTTCAAGTAGCTTTTTGGCTTTGACAGCGGTGATCCGGTAGGCTTCATAAATTGCCGCTCAAGTCTTCACTGCTTTCTCAAGACCGGTCAGCACTTGGGGTTGATTTGCGGTCGCATGAGAGATGTATTCAGGGTGATCTTGCAGCGTTGTTTTTTGCCGCTCCTTCGGCGAACACCCGCAGTAATATCCCCGTTAAGGAGCAGCTTGAATAGGCGCTAGCCATCCATCCTCGCGAATTGACCGCTTCACTGCAATTGTAGTTGATTACGCATTACGTAGATGATGAGAATATCGTTTGGCTCAAGGACTTCGGCGTCCGGGATCCCCACTTGCTGTTTCACGTTCCGTATTCTCCGCATGCAGCTGAGATGAAAAATATATGGGTTCCGCGATTGTTTTTCAAGATTGCCCAGTTCTCTGCTCCATACGGCAATGTCGTCCAGATGACTGCTTTTCACATATGGAGTTTGATGTGAAGATGGTAAAAATAGCGATTCCACATTTACTCCACATTATACTCGTTTCTTAAGTATAAAATATAAAGAAGACGTGATTCTCTATTGATTGACTAAAAGAAAGCATATTTTTGTATTTGGTTTATAAAAAATATATTTGAATTTCCAAGACCATCGAAAATCAATGGAAAAAAGGCTTGCAACATAAGTAGGCATTTTTTACCAAGGACGCTTTCTACAGGAGATTGAAAAGGAGTGCATTTAAAAGCCGACATCCTGCCAAGTCCAAAATGTTATAAGAATATGCCTTATGATAATCAGTTTTAAAACCGCGACCAAGTAATCCTTCCTAATCGAAAACGCATTTCAGAAGTTCAGCCAACATTTCATGAGATAGGTCACGCACTGTATGCCTGTGCGTGGTCAAAAGTCTATCTGGTTTTGGAAATC